CTTCCAGTGCCCTTCATGTGACTGGTCTCTTCTCCCACACCAACCGTTATAACTCCGATAATGACTTGCCTAAAGCTGTCAACTAATCTCAACTGGTCACTAATTATTGTTTATGCAATCAGGATGCGACTCTTTTGGTATGCACACAGCATTTCGTTGTAGCAAGCTGTATAACCTGCTTTAAGACGTTAACCTTTAGGCCTTTCAGCGAAGGATAAATTACCGAAGGTCGGCCATCCAGCGGGGTCTTTGCTTTCAGCATCTTCGTGCAGATACAGACGGACACCTTAGAAAGCTTCATATTCATAAAAAATCAAGTGAGATAAACAACAGTTGTACGGAACGGATTTTGGAATGGTCTGTGGTTTCAAAAATGCCAAACTAGATAACAGTATGATGTGTTTTACTGCCCCATTTTGTTTGTTCTCTTGTGGAACATGACGAAACATATAATTCGATTGCCTTGCTACACTGAATGACCGTTGAAGAACACTAGCCTATGCTACAATCAACCCTCACTTTCAAAAGTATTGACAGAGCAATTGCAAGGCTAACTGTTTGGTGAGGGTCGCTTCAAAACTGAACCTTGTTAGAGGCGACTACTTGCATTCTGAACTCCAAATTCTTTCATAATCGAAGGCGACCATAGCGTGAAAAATTTTCACATATGCTACTTTTTGAGTGTCTAGAAAAAAGGTGCATCAATGAAATGTGTTATAAGTACTTAACAGTGACACAGAATTATCCATGGATCTTATAATTATCTAAAGTCTTGGTTATAGAGAGTAAGCTGTTTCGTTCCGTCCCACCAGCTCTAGTGAGAAGTCTATTCCGCTTACGAATCATCTTATTTTATCAGCTAGAAACACATCGTTTATATAGGAAGAAACAATCATTGACGTCAGTCGTTGCAACGCATAAGTAGCTTGTCCTCTTATTGGTTGATTGATCACACGACCAACTGCCATTTGACGGGAATCCGTTCGCGTCTCATCGATTCGCTACATTGTCATTCGAGCATCCGCTGGCACAAGCACTGACTTGGATTCCGGCCAGGCGCTGACATGCCGATTACTGACGGGACATGGCTTGCTATCGACCATGAGTCAGCCCATACCCTCGCATAAGCTTTCATAAAATATGTTTAAAATCAGTAGATTTTATAGTCTTATGTCATTGGGTGTCAACTGGTGCATGAGCTTGTACTCGTGGTAGGGCAGAAGAGCGAACTGAACCTGCACTCCCATTATCATCATCCGTGGTGGTGGAATCCCTTCAGGTCCATATGGTATTAACTCATTAGTCACGTTTGCTTCACCGAAGAAATATCATTTCCGCTATTTTGACTGATGTATACGGGGTGAAGATACCAGAGTGTTCTTGGTGTAAAAAGGAATATCTTATTTGCCAAGAGCGTTTCTGTTTGCCTTTGAAGTTCTAGGTCTTCAAAGCCAACAGCATTACCAGTATTTGAAACCACTGAGAATAAAATGAGTCCAAGCTAGACGACGTGTTTGATGGAATACAACTAATCAGTACTTCAGCACAGATAAAAACAGAGAATGCCAGAAGTGAGTGAGAATGACCTGATGCCTTGAAAGTGTGATACTGAGTAACTTAGAATGCCAAAATTGTATCGGTCGATATACCTCTGGAGTAGGATTACTTCTACAATAAAAAATTAACCTGACCGTAGGTGGTTCAGCGGCTACTATGTCTGAGTTACGTTACCTAAATACTGCCACCATCAGTCAGCTTCAATGATTTAGAGCACTGTGGTCTCTCTGGGGTCTTCACTCGACTCAAATTATTAAGGCATGAAACTGCTGGTTCTCATTGAAGGTCGGGTGAATCCCCTTGGATTTTCTGATGTGTCATTTCTGCTTCAATTATATACAAGCATAGCTTATAATAAATCAAATTTCACCATGTTTCCACAGAGAGAACGACGTGCACTGATCCCATCATCATAGCATTTAATCTGAAGGGTCGATAACTCAGTGGATGAAATTACACGTTCAACGTGCTCCCACAGTTGAAAAGGCTGACATACCGTCTGTAGTTTGCCTCATGTGAGATTAAAACGGTGCAAATATTCTCCAAAACTGTCTCTTCATTTTCGTCTTTGCTTGACATGAAATCTAGTAGGTTCTCCATTGCAATTATATACAGTGCCTGCAAAAGTTTAGCACGATTGGTTTTCTGAAACGAAAGTCCCTGAACCCCTGGATATTCACGCGTTCTATTTTTCATTTTTACTGTGGTTTCTAGTTGTGCATCAGAGACACTTGAATTGGTTTATAACCAGAACTCGTATTCGCTTAACAAGTGGACTCAGTGAAGCCATACTTCACAGCATAGGGATGCCCTTTCTAATGAAACTGATGTATCACAGCAACCTATTGGTTTCCTAATCGTGACCCGATGGGTGACACACAGCTATGAAAGTTTTGCTTGTCTCTTGGAGATAATCGATTTTGTTTAACAATAATGAGTAATTCGTTTGCATCTCTAAGTTCACACATGAATTTCTCACCCTGTGTCTCCGTTAAATTTCGGAACACTGATTTTTGTATGGTTATTTGCATCGACAAGAACAACTATAATGTAAACTCTTGGAAGATGAATATTTAAATGATCATGAACTGTTTTGCCATTCGAGACATTTGTGCGTGCATTAAGTAGATGTGGTTGCAAAAGTGTGGTCATAAACAAAATCCTAATGTGAAGATTGTTATGTTGAGCCACTTGGTGGTAAACTGTTGTAAAACCCTTGCTACTTGTGACAGAGCGGGGGTGGAAAGAGTCATCCGAAAAAGTAGCTCCATATTGTCCTCTTTTGGACAGTCATCGGTCTGTCGACCAAAGTAATGTGGGAACTAAACGTTGAGCATCTTGATTGTCAGACTAATTGCCTTGTCCTTGGTCCTGTCAAGTGGTTCAGCGCATATCCGCATTCTTTTGAAGGCCGGGCAAAACAGAATTTTTCTCGAACACCTGACACCATGTCACTGGTGAGTGACAGATTTTCAGCAAAAGTCTTCTCAGAAAAAGCACGGTGACAATGAGTTTTGCGGGTATGACTTTGTGGACATTCGGCAAGTATTTTGAGATCATTGCAAAAGTTGATCATGGACGAGTTTGTGCAATTCATCCGCCATTACAACAGGTGTTTACCTTTGTTCGGCTTATGGGGCTTGCTTCAGAGCGGCGAAAAAACAAAGCAGCCTACTTCAACTCGTCCCTTATTACAATGAAGTGCGGTAGTTTACTGGGAAACCTTCTCGCTGGATATAGTTATTGCCATTTGGAAGTTATTTTCTTTATCAAAATGTAGGTAAAATCATTATCCGGGTCGACTGTGGTAGCATTTTGCAGACCCCGTCTTACTGCAACATAGTATTTTACAAGATGGATGCGAAAAAAGGCTTATTCATTTAATTAAAGGTTCTGAGCCATATCTAAGATCAAATCGTGTGCAAAATGCGTTTTCATAATTTTATATTCCTTTTGTTCATTGAAGCAGTGATATTTCTTGGTTATGAGCGTGCGCTTCCTCTCCATCACGACAAATGGAAGTTTACCCGCATGATATCAGAAGGGAAGAACTCTTGGTGTTTTGAACGGTACTGTCAAGGGGCAGGGTAGTGTCGTCACAGAATGCCAACATTATACGAGGAGTGTCCTGGTTCTTGCACTCAGTATCTTGCAATTCCGAATTCTTTACCACACTAGTTGTGTGACCTGAAATAACACTAAAAAAGAGACAATTGTTTGTGACAATTCCATAATCAGGTACTTCACGGCGATCATCTTCGGTATCACCTTACACTGCTCCCCGTTCAATGAAAGTATCGTCCCCGGCACATGAGTCATTCCTCATTTACTCGCAGCCTCCATCTCGACTGTTTCATCAGGTATACTTGACTCAGAACCGTCGTGCTCTATTGGCTGGTCTGACTCATTTTCGTATCTCCCCAGTTGATAAAACTACAAAATGAACGAATTTTGCGTGCTTCGGAAGTCTCGGATGACACGGTTGGAGCCCAATAACACTCGTTCTACTGTGAAAAGCCATTTACCACTCTTTGTGGAATTTTGAAGGTATCACTGGGTTGCGTTGCGTTTTATGGGGTCATATCTTATAAACAGTCTTCAGGAGAGGGCTGGAGGATTTCCTGTTGAAACACTCTCTTTAATATATATAAGCTATCTCCATATGACTACGAGATGATTGGCTGGCTTGCTTCAGCATGTCCAACACGTTGCAGACATACCTCACGACAACCATTTACTGATTGTTGACACAACTTGGTCGTCTGTCTTTGGGGCGTCGTATTTCCATTCCTGTCCATGAAAGTGTGGCTTTCGTTTAGTGGAACTATGGATGGCACCACGGTAAGCAATGGGACAAAGTGTCAATAAACAGTTTCATTTGTGTGTTGCTCGCCCTAATGGAAAGTGACCGACGAGGCTAGCCCAGTGATTAAAACCAGAATAGGTACTGTGCATCACTGGAATAGTGGTTCATGCGTCGCCGAATATTCACTTACTTTATTCACAGCTGGCCGTCCGGACCGTGATAACTCATCTGGTAGAGCTTCTACCCGGTACGTGGATGGCGACAGACATTTCGATGTGAAAAGTACAAGTGGATTTTCCACATCATGAGAATTTCGACCGTTGAAAGCCTTCAATTGTGAAAAAAGCCCATTTCCCTGTGCAGAATAGTTTGTAGTTCTATTTTTCTCTAGTAATAGAAATTGACAATGTTCCAGCAGCACTGCACTCTCGAAGTACGACAATTTGCCTGAATTTAGTTGACTCAGAACACCTCACTGATATATCAAATGATGAATGATGACATTAGCGGCCGGAACCGCATCAGTTGTCATACGGCGATAGATTAGCACCACACAGCAAAGTAGCCAATCAACACAAGTACGTATCAACGGACTGTGAGCATTCTGCCAAAGGGACTACGACATCCACACAAAAAGATGTCGTCTAAGAAACCCGCAATTAAAAACCGCAGCGCTCCCAAATGGCCCGAACCGCGATATGACAGCTTTGTGTTTGTGGAATATGAACGTGGTCTGGTCCGAACACTATTTCAAACAGCACAAAATATCTGCACAGAAGACATGATTGACATTGAACTACGACAGCTGAAAGAATCTTTGACTAGAAAAGCTTATCCCGATGCATTTATCGAAAGGCACAGCAAGCCTAAAGTGATCAGACAAACGAATTGTTCAGCAGAAAAACTACTAGTCACCATTTGTCTTCCATTCAAACGTGATGACATCAATTGTTTGCTCAAACGACCACTTGGATCAGCGCTTGCCCGAACATATTATGCAGCTGACTTCAGAATTGCTCATCGAAAGATTGAGATCCCCCCACTGTCGGTGAAACAACGTCCACCTCTGTACACCAAATCGAATCCGATTTACCAATTTCAGTGTAGTTGGGAGCAGCCTACGTGGGTCGAACAGAGCGGCAGATACGTAACCGAGTGATTGAATATATTCCAAATTCGGTACAACGTTTTGTGATGCAATCCGGGTCAGATCAAAGGCATAATGACAACGTTCGAAACCAGGAGATCCCGTCGTCGGCCGTCGCTCGTCATCTTCTGATGACGCAACATCCAGCTGACCGAAGCACTGCGTTTCGGGTCATTTACGTGGCAAAGAATACCAGGCTTTTGAGGTTTGTTCAAACCATTGCCATACATTGATGCAAACCTTATATTGTGTCAGCAGAAACAGTTCTTTGTTCATGTGTCTTTACCATGGTGACGTAACTTGACTATTGAAATTTCCCCTATATTTCTCGAAAATTATGGTTTTACATGAACTTATACAAACAGTCTGGTTGTGCAGTGTGCACCATGTTGAGATGCAGCGAAATCGTCCCGGACATGAATCGTGCAATGTTGCAACTGTGGCTTTTCTTTTCAAGATTATTTCGGGAAAAGCATGCCTAAATTTCCTCAGATCTCGTCTCTCGAATTCAACCATTAGGTCTCTCAATGACCCAGTCAGATTGAGATGTAAAATTGCCACGATTCGAGTACGTACTATTTTTCTGAATCACTCAATATATGTCGATTCTCACTGGGGCCTATTCAGGAAGTAAGGCTTATGTTGGAAATGTTCTGATAAGACTTGACGGTGCTCATGGTTTGCTAACATATGCTTCACTACTCGGTTTATTTAACATCCACGAATCTGTAGCGGAAATCGGAGAACACAAGTCCAGTTTTGTTTGTTGACCGATTTGAGTTTGTAGGTACCTGTACATTTCCGACTTTTCCATGATTTTCAACGTCCCTTGGTGCGACACTCCTTTGTTGTACCGACGTTTCAATGTAAAACACACATACCTTTTGAACGTCAACACCGCTCAATACAAAGAGGCTGTAAATGAATCTTTCATTCTGGCACGGTCTCATCTTCTGGTTTGGAGTGTCTTGGAATTATATCGGTCGGAATTTACTGAGTGAAACAAAACATTTTAGAGGCTTCAACGGCATCTCTTGGCACTTCGCTCAATACCATCCTGTCCTGTTCAACGGATGGCTGTCAGACCGAACTGAACTGAAGACATTGGCGGATATTGGCTCTTCGACGCTCATTTCCTGATCATAAGAACACTGAACATCTGTGAGTTTTAGTCACACCTTTTGTTTCATTTTAATTCCTAATGTGCATACCCTTTTGGCCTACTTATCACCGCACGCTCCTCCGTCCATCCTAGTTTGCTAGTGTCGTCTTAGATATTGTTGACAATAATTAAGTGTACCACATAGACAGAGTAGTACGCTACAAAATTGGTGAGCCCAGGTTGTTTTCTCATCATTTGACATTAGCTTGATTCTTTCGGTCCACGTTCCACACCATTCACCATGTCTGACAGCGAATCTATTGACATCCACGCGGTTGCTCTCAAACTGCCCGTTTTTGCCCCGAACAACCATCGAGTGTGGTTTTGACAAAAAGAAGCCGTGTTTGCCACTCGACATATAACCAGCGAGCGCGTGAAATACTCTCACGTTGTACAAGCGCCTCCCTTTGACATCGCTATTGACGTGGAAGATCTCCTCGATCCCATTCCATTAGAAGCTCCTTACACGAAGCTTAAGGAAGCAGTCATTCAGCGTACCGGAAAATCAGCCGGAAAAATGCTCCGTGAACTTTTCACGTCGGTGGAGCTCAGAGACCAAACTCCGTCCCAGCTTATGCGCCATATGCGGTGGCTACTGGCTGGACGGCAAATGGACGACGCCATTTTCAGGGAGATATGGGTTGCTAAACTACCTCTCCCGATGCAGCTGGTCCTGTCAATGCTGGAACCTACTACTCTACTTGACAAGGTTGCGCAACACGCCGAAAGAATAATGGAATGCTACCCGGCTGGTAGACATTGCGTTCACATGACATCACCCGCCGAAACCACTCCGACGCACGAATCCCCCACGACATTACCAGTTTCTGCCCCAGATCGCCGTGCCGACGTTTCTCGCAGTCCTGATTCCCCATCCCATCACTCGCATATCGATGAGGACATTACGGACCTAAAAGAAACCGTTCTCATGTTGTGCAATCCGGTCAGTGCAATGTGCAACGCGTTTACTACTCATCGATCTGTGTCCACCGAAGTACCTCATCGACCTAGATCACGGACGCTCTTTTCAACGGGTTTTCACCCAGGCGGATGTTCAGAATCCTATTGTTGGCGCGGATTTCCTCCCACATTTTAGCCTAACTGTGGACCTCAAAAATCGCAAGCTGGTAGATACCACAACCAAGCTTTGTGCAGTCGGCATTGGTAAATGCACCAACTCCCTGGGTATTCAGCTGGCGATCCCGCAATCGCCGTTTGCTGACATTTTGAAGGAGTTTCCATCCCTCACTAAACCGTGTTAGCTCACCGACCCAGTCTCTCATGCTGTGCAGCACCACATCGCTACAAAAGGCCAACCTGTCCACTTTCAACCTCGACGACTCAACTCCGACAAACTCCGGTTCGCACGACTTGAATTCGAACACATGATGAATCTTGGCATCATTCGACCGTCTTCAAGCCCATGGGCCTCGCCTTTGCACATGGTTCCGAAATCATCTGGTGATTGGAGACCCTGTGGAGACTACCGTGCTCTCAACAACGTCGCCGTCCCCGACAGGTACCCGATCCCACACATTCATGATTTTGCACAGAATCTCTCTGGGAAGACAATCTTTTCCAAGGTTGACCTCGTAAAGGCATATCACCAAATCCCCGTGGCCGAAGAAGACATTCCCAAGACAGCCATCACCACGCCTTTTGGCCTGTTCGAGTTCATTTGCATGCCATTTGGACTGAGAAACGCTGCCCAGACGTTCCAACGATTCGTCGATGAAGTACTTCGAGGTTTACCGTTCGCGTTTGGCTACATCGACGACATCTTAATTGCCAGCGCCTCTCCATCAGAGCATGCCAGCCACTTGCGTCAATTCTTTCAACGTTTCCAACAATACAGACTTCAGCTAAACCCTAGTAAATGCGTGTTCGGAGTTCTGTCCCTCGACTTTCTCGGGCACCATATCGATCAAATCGGTTTGACACCCCTCCCAGATAACGTGCGCAGCATCCTGTCATTTCCTGCACCTCAAACGATCACACAGTTACGACGTTTCTTGGGAATTTTGTACTACTACCGTCGCTTCATTCCCCATTGTGCGACCATCGTTTCACCGTTAACCGATCTTCTCAAGTCCAACGTCAAGACGATCGATTTCACTCCCGAGGCCGAGACAGCTTTCACAGAAGCCAAAAAAGCTCTCGCAGATGCCACCATGCTGCACCACCCACATTCGGATCCAAATACTGAGTTAATCCTAACGACTGATGCATCAAATACTGCGGTCGCTGCAGTGCTTCATCAAATAGTGGACAACCAGTTATAGCCACTAGCGTTCTTCTCGCGAAAACTCCAGGCGGCACAGACAAAATACAGCACGTTTTCTCGTGAACTCCTGGCCATTTACTTGTCCATCCGACATTTCCGTCATCTTTTGGAAGGACGACAATTGCGTGTGCACACTGACCACAAACCCCTGACACACGCACTTCATGCCAGGCCTGACGGACATTCACCCAGAGATATCCGCTATTTGGATTATATTTCTCAGTTCACAACAGACATGCGCTACGTGCGTGAAGTTCATAACGTTGTGGCTGATGCTTTATCCAGACCTGACATCAACACGGTGCAGACTAAATTCGATCTTACGGAGCTGGCAAACCTCCGGCTCGAACTGCGCACATCCTCCACACTCCAGCTCAAGAATTCTCCCCTACCTTCAACCGATGGCACAGTCCTATGTGACTGGTCTACAGGTAACCCTCGTCCTATCGTTCCAACTTGCTACAGGAAGATCGTTTTCGATCATTTCCATTCCTGTTCCCATCCTGGTATCCGTGCATCTCGCAAACTCATTTCTGCTGGATTTGTTTGGCCCAATATGAATTCGGACATTGCATTATGGACTAAACAGTGTTTACAATGTCAGAGAAACAAAGTCCACACGCCACCCTTTTTCTCCTCCCAGTACGTTCACCGTTCCCGACTTCCGTTTCACACATATTCCCGTCGATCTTGTTGGCCCACTACCACCATCAAATGGACATACCCACTTACTAACCGTTGTTGATCGTTTCACACGCTGGCCGGTGGCATTACCCATTTCCGACACCTCGGCGGAAAATATTGCGAAGGTACTACACCAGCACTAGATTGCTACATTTGGTGTACCGTCTACCGTCACCACAGACCGTGGCAGCCAATTCCAGTCGACTTTGTTTCGTGAGTTCACTAAACTGCTTGGCTGTAAACACATAACAACAACTGCATACCATCCTTCGTCCAAGGGCATGGTAGAGCGCCTACACCGTCAACACAAAGCAGCACTGATATCACAGCCAAACCCCAATAACTGGAGCGACAACTTGCCACTAGTTCTTTTGGGTCTGCGGTCATCAGTCAAAGACGACCTCCACAGCACGTCGGCGGAACTCGTTTTCGGTATCACCATATGCCTTCCAGGTGAGTATGTTCAACCCAGCACCGATGCCAATCCTAACCCATCCCAATTTGTCCAACAACTCGAAGACCGTATGTCACATCTTCGTCCCATACCCACTCGCTCGTCATTCACACACGTTTTTGTACATAATGATCTATATACGTCACCTTTCGTTTTTATTCGTAACGATACTGTTCGCAAACCACTCACGCCACCTTATGATGGTCCATTTAAGGTACTTAGTAGCACAGACAAAAATTTCGTGGTTCAGAAAGCCGATAAGCCAGACACAGTTTCCATTGACAGACTGAAACCCACGTATTTTGATACACCTCCGTCACCAGCAACACCGACACTATCACCATCCACAGAAACACCACCAACACTTCCTGTTGATGATCCACCCTCTATCATCACACCAGACACTACACCACACCCGCCAGCACCACCACAGCAACAACCTCCCTTGGTAACCCGCCGTTCCGGAAGATACGCTCGATATCCTTTCAGATTTCACGACTTTGTTAGTTGACGCTTTCCTTCTTTCTATTTTACAATCGAGCGTTTATCTTGTACAACAAACGCTCTGGCGGGGCAATTGTGTTGGTACCTATATAATTACGACTTTTCCATGATTTTCAACGTCCCTTGGTGCGACACTCCTTTGTTGTACCGACGTTTCAATGTAAAACACACATACCTTTTGAACGTCAACACCGCGCAATACAAAGAGGCTGTAAATGAATCTTTCATTCTGGCACGGTCTCATCTTCTGGTTTGGAGTGTCTTGGAATTATATCGGTCGGAATTTACTGAGTGAAACAAAACATTTTAGAGGCTTCAACGGCATCTCTTGGCACTTCGCTCAATACCATCCTGTTCTGTTCAACGGATGGCTGTCAGACCGAACTGAACTGAAGACATTGGCGGATATTGGCTCTTCGACGCTCATTTCCTGATCATAAGAACACTGAACATCTGTGAGTTTTAGTCACACCTTTTGTTTCATTTTAATTCCTAATGTGCATACCCTTTTGGCCTACTTATCACCGCACGCTCCTCCGTCCATCCTAGTTTGCTAGTGTCGTCTTAGATATTGTTGACAATAATTAAGTGTACCACATAGACAGAGTAGTACGCTAAAAGTTGAATTCTCTCATGTTGTTACCCGACAATGAATTACTGTTGTTCAACAGGATAGAAGTGTGAGGTTCCCGGAGAATTCTTAAATCGTATGCCTGCGCGTCTTCAACAGCCTCTGATTAGTGAGCTTGGAATTCAGGGTCAAACTTTTCATCATCAGCCGAGATGCCACCATTAGTACATAGGAACTAATGAAAACCTTCCTCCTAAACTGCGACCTACACCAGTTTTAGTTAGTCTGTTGGGAATCCTCTGTGGCGATGCGCACCTGTCGAGCCTTAGCTGGGGATCGGATCGGTCAAGTAGGATTGTGATCTACCGACATTAGGCATACAGCACTTAACTTCAGCAATCACCGAAATACCACCCGTATTGATGACTCTTGACTCCGATGCTTTACTGATCGCAGATTACGAATCATGCGTAAAGTCGGCGTAAATGAGCTCACAGCAAGCTCAGAATGGAAACGGTTTTAGCATGTTTCCCATTTGAATCTCTCCAGCTCAGTTTGTTCTCCGTCTTCAAGTCTCGAGTCCTGTCTCGATCTGTACAAATTATCCAGGTTGCCCTCTTTCGTACCAGTACGAACGTTTGTTGCTCGCAGATACTGTTGCCACGATCAGGAAATGGTAACGTGCTATTAAAATGCGTTTGAATAGGCCCATGAGTAAATGCAATCACAGTGGGGACAAAAACAATGCCTAAACGTGGTCTCATTTAACATTTGTGTGAGTAAGTATTGTCCGTTTGCACCGCATTAATATGATACTCAGCTTAACGGATAAGCCGTGATTTGCCAAAACATTTGTAAAATGACCTCATTTGACTTACCACCGTAATTTTAGACGATTGTGTAAATTTTATTAGAGAACACTTTAAACTGTACTCTAATGCTATGCATATTCTGCAAGTCATTCTTGGTAAGGGAAATTCGGCATATAGCATTGCTTATTCGTTAAAGCGTACATAAACGTTTCTTCTATTTTTAACGGGAGTGAAAGCTTTATCACATGGAACTCATTGCTGAGCTGGTTCGAAGTCAAATAGCTGGTTACCTGTTTGGTACTCATACTCGTACGCAAAATTCAGATAGATATCATTATTGGAAGTAATCAGCATACAACTGAAAACAGTGAATTGCACCTCACTCAAGCAAAGCTTCGCTCATTTTTGATATAGATGAATGATAAGTCTGTAGGCTAACAAGAGAGACAGAATTTAATATCTACGAATAGAATACAGTACAAAATAGTCAAGACTATTTGGACGAATCTAGGATGCCCATCATGATTCTCTACCAGTCTGACCTTGCACGAAATGACAAGGACGTCATTGTGCACAGCTCGTTGTCTTACACTATAGTTTTTAAGCGATTTGGTGATGGGATCATGTTGTGTCACAATGAGGACGACAAGGTTCATATACCTTTCCTTCCTGCTCGTGCCCTTTTTACTCCACATAGTAACGAAGATGGCGAGACGAGTGAGGACACTCGTATTAGGACACGTTCGTGGAACATATATAATCGTTTATATAGTACGTTCTCCAAACTGAGCTACAGCAGCTTTGATCCTCCGACTGCCCGAGTATTCTGGCTGCATTCTGGCCAGTTCACTGTGGCCGTTAGCTTGGTTCTCTTACTCATTATTTAGGTTCAGCTGATCCGATTGCTTCAGTTGAAGGCTTGTTCGGTAGCTCCTCACCTGAGCTATATTCCTGGTTGCAAAATATCCCGCTGCGTTCTGTCTGCTAGTCCGAATTCCTCTTTTTGTTTGTTGGGGGATACTTCTCACAAATTCACCGTCTGTTCTTCGGTCTGTGGCTCACGACCGGTTGGTCTAATCGGCTTGATGTTTGCATCGTTCTGCTGCTTCAGTATTCGCCTCTGCAATATGAATTCCACGTGGATCCTTCCCTCCTGACACAGGAAATGTAAACTGCCGGTGATATGACAAGCAAGTTCCCGGCTGATATATCATGTATCCCAGTTAACAGAATATTCTCAGTTGATTTTAACTAGAAAACGGTTACTGGAATGATGAATCGAATACCGGAATCACCACTTTATGGATGCATAGGCTTTTATTGTTTCATATGGTTTCCCCGTACATGTAAATTGTTCTTATTATGATATAATTAAAGAATGCCCCGAAGAGACTGATTTGCACACATTATCCTGACGACGAGAATACTAGCATTATCTTCTACTGAATTGGGATTCAAATAGTTCACTGGGCCCGCATATTTTGCAAATTCTGTAACCACGAGTGTTTTACATCTCTCTGTTTTGTCCGTTTCGATTTCAGATTTGCCTATTCATGCTGACTTGCACCAATCTTATATCTCGTTCGGCACTGGGAAGCACTTGTCTGAAATAGAAACGATGCCATAGAATCTATAGAAAGTGTCTCATTCGTTGATCATGACGTCCTGGATTCGCTTCTCACCATCAATGGTAACTTTCCTCTTTCGGTAGCCTTGGATTGGCCGTGGCCACCTTCCAGAGGTACTGTTCCTTATAGTTTGACAGATGAAAAGATTTAAGTATTATTCGTCGAAATGAGCCTGGGAATGACGAGCCTAAATCTTATAGATAACGAAGAATCCACCTGTATATTCCCCACCCATAGCGGATTTCACATCATGTATAAGATTCAAGACCCTCGCGTCCATAATGATCAAATTTGAATGTGTTTCAGGTTTTACGTTTTTTCATCTGAATGTGTCTCATTCCCATAAGCAGTTAAAAGAAAATGTTTTGATTCGATTCTGCATCTTGTTTTGTCAAGGGATAAACGAGTTCTGTTATTCTGGGATTCAGCCAGCACCCACGGCGCTTAGGACGAGGAGAACAGTTTCTCACATATTAGTATGGATATAACGAATTCTACACCCAGACAAGTTTCGAACCACAAACAAGTTTCGTTGGGTGATAATTTTAACGGATTTGCCATTTTTCACTTGTCGAACATGAGACAGTGCGAAATGGAAAGTGGGAAATAAGGGGAAAAACGTTCCATGTCACTTTTCACTACAACGTTTCACGGACGTATATCCGTCTGGCAGATGTCAATTCGACCCATCTCTTACATCAACCAGTTATTTCAGTTTCTTATCCTTATTCAGGGCCTACACATATTTATTGCCACTAGTTAGCTTGTGCTCGTCGACGAACATTATCTTCACTTCCGTAGCTCAATGAGGAGAAAACGCAACAACTTGTTTTTTTCGGCATTGGAAATGAATTATCCATCATAATCAAATCGGAGCTTTAAGGGGGTAGTTGTGACCACAGAACCATCAAGGTGTCAATGGTTTTTCTAATCTAAAAGCATAGACCAATAACGTTGATATACCAATCGCTATAAGATGAACACTCTCATGGGAAGCATAATCTAAAGCAGTATTCGGCAATAAAGTGGTCTTCCAAGAAGAAATTCGAATCTGACAGACTGGAAACATTGATATTGTGAACCCAATGAATTCTGCATTGTTTACTCTGATCCCCAGCAAGCTCAGTGATGATTCAAAGCAGACCATAACAACCGGTGACTTTGAAGCCATTGTGACGATTTTCCTTGTGAATTTCTCACTAAACGTTACGCGTTTGGAAGCCCCTAAATATCGGTGTACATCACAGAACGTAAATCGATAGCTAAACCAATTAAAGACGAGTTTGTGTAATTTATCCGCCATCACAACAGGTGTTTACCTTTGTTCGGCTTATGGGGCTTGCTTCAGAGCGGCGGAAAAACAAAGCAGCCTACTTCAACTCGTCCCTTATTACAATGAGGTACGGTAGTTTACTGGGAAACCTTCTCGCTGGATATAGTTATTGACCTTTGGAAGTTATTTTCTTTATCAAAAAGTAGGTAACATCATAATCCGGGTCGAATGTGGTAGCATTTTGCAGACCCCGTCTTACTGCAACATAGTATTTTACAAGATGGATGCGAAAAAAGGCTTATTCATTTAAATAAAGGTTCTGAGGCATATCTAAGATCAAATCGTGTGCAAAATGCGTTTTCATAATTTTATATTCCTTTTGTTCATTGAAGCAGTGTTGTTTCTTGGTTGTGAGCGTGCGCTTCCTCTCCATCACGGGACAATTGAAGTTTATCTGCATGATATCAGAAGGGAAGAACCCTTGGTGTTTTGAACGGAACTCGCAGCGTCCATCTCGACCGCTGCATCTGGTATACTTGAGTCGGGACTGTCGTGTTCTGTTGACTGATCCGAGTCCTCCTTGTATCACTCCAATTTAATAAACTGCAAAATGAACGAATTGTATGTGCTTTGGAGGTCTCGGATGACACGGTTAGAGCCCAATAACACTCGTTCTACTGTGAAAAGCCCGTACAACTCATTGAGGAATTTTGAAGGTATCAC